TTTCAGTTTATTTAAATATCAGTAAGCTTATATTCTTGTATATATCAGTTTCTGATCTTAGCAAGTCTATATTCTTGTACATGTCTATCTTTAATCTAGATTAATCTAATATCTAGTCCAGATGAAGAAGACCTCTGCTTGTAGATAAAGAAAAGAAAAGAAGAGAGAAAAAGAAAAAAAAAAATCTTTTTTATATATAAAAACTTAGATTAGTTATATAACTGGAAGATTAATATTATATAGGCCTATATTAAAAGATACAGCCTTGTTATAATAAAAATAGAAGCTATACTGAGTGAGTAATAAAAAAGAAAGTTATAAAGAAAAGTAATTTTTTATAAAATTTAAATATCTATATAAAGTTAAGTAAACCAAATAGAGTATAATATCTAGAAAATTATAAATAAATAATAGAAAGATTAGAGTTATAATAGTAATAAGAATACAGGCAGAAAAGTAGCAGAGATATAAAAAAAAATATAAAAACCTAAGTTTTCTAGTCTATGAATATATTTATATTTTGATTTAACACTATGCTGAAAGGGGAGGGGAGTAATATTATAAAATAAATTTTTATTAAAAAATTTAGTTATCCAGTCTTGTAACTGCCTGCTGACTAACTAATATATATACAAAACCTCAGATATCCTGAGATCTTTATTTGAACACCAGCTATTCCTTCTTGTCCAACAGGCGATGTACTCTTAGAACCAAGGGGCGACCCCTAACATAAAAAAAGATTTTAAATAGTATTTTTTATATCTATTCTTATACCTGTATATAGTATTCCTGGCTACACAGGTCCGATCTCTTCAGAATTCTAATATAATAATTAAGCAAGTAGTTGGTGGTGTTATAAAAATGATATCTTTTGAATAGAAATAGTTTATATACAGTATCTGTCAAACCCTAGGATTGCTTCCCTGTCCCTGTTAGCTTAGCTTCACTGGTATACGTACCGTCGAACTGGGTTGAGGGGGTATCAGGCTGATGATTATCTAAGGATAACTGGTCTTGGATGAGAGAAGAGAAGTAAGGCTAAGTAGTATTGTATAATTATTTATAAGTAAGTATAGATGAGTATTCTGTAGTTAAGCTTCTAAATGTATGGTTACTTAAAGATAGTGTTATTAAGTATAAAGAATAGAATTAGTTAAGTATATAAAAGAATATTCTTATATATTCTATTCTTTATATATTATATTATATATTATTAGGTCTGTTGTATACTGTTATAGTAGTTGTAGACTAGGATAGTATGCTGTATACTGTATACCTGTGTGTATATTGTGGTCACGTGACATGTGGCTGTTCTGGGCATTGTAGGGATAATTAGGAATTTTATTAAATAATTATTTGGTTTTGCCTGAGTGCTGTCTTTATTAATGTTTTCTGTCTAGTAAGTTTATTTTATTAGTAGATTAATTAGTAGGAGTCTGTAATATTATTTCTTTTTCTTCAAGGTTTCTTGTTCTTAAGAAATATAAAGATGTGTATTTTTTTATATATGTTGGCTGGGTTCTTTAGTTTTCTTTTTTTTCCAGGATGGGTTGTTATGCTTTTATATAATTGTTATAAGGAGTGTTATTATTAAGTTGACTGGATTATCTGTAATAGTATTTAGATTAAATTCTTTTATATTTAGTATGATTTCCATGATTTTTTTTATTTTATAGATTTTAAAAACTGAAATTGTGCGGCCTGCACTCGTCGCGGTTGTAAGTATAAGAAATATTTTTATAATGATTCTGAGTGGGATAAGCTTTA